AATGATGTAGCTTCCTCATCAGGTCGGAACATGGGTATTTGGTTGTACCCTGAGTACGCATCCATGAAGCTAAGTAGTTCATGCCCAGCAGTGGAGTTGACCAGTTGATCAATTCTTGGAAGTGGGAAGCTGTCCTTGGGGCATGCCTTATTCAGGTTTGTGAAGTCCACACAGACCCTCCATTTCCCGCTGGACTTTTTCACTAGAACCGGGTTGGATATCCACCTCGGGTATATGGCCTCTCTGATGAAATCACTGCGATCGAGTTTACTTACTTCGTCTTTCAGTGCCTCGTACCGTTCCGGATTCAGCGCGCGCCTCTTCTGTCTATGGGGGGCATAGGAGGGGTTGATGTTAAGGTGATGGCAACTGATCCTGGGATCTATCCCCACCATATCCTCATGTTTCCATGCGAAGACATCTAGGTTTTCTTTCAGGAATCGTATCATCTCAATTTTTGCTTCAGGCGATAATGACTTCCCTATGCGCAAGACTTGATTGGGGTCTTCTGGATTGACTGGAAAAGTTTCCAGTTCTTCCATTGGGGTCGCATTTGGTTCATAATCAATTATTCGGGGATCTAACTCGTCAAGAGGGTGTCCTTGTTCAGGGGCCTCTTCCATTATGACATCTTCCTCTTGTCCAGAGGTATGCCCTTGTTCAGGGGCGTCGAGCATCTCCACGTCCGTACCGACTTCAGCGGGTACTTCTGCTAGAATTACATTGACAGTCCGGGGCTCCGATTTGCGTAGTGAGTTCAGGTAGCATGCCCTGGAGCTCATCTGATCGCCCCGAACCGTTGCAATCCCACGTTCGGTTGGGAATTTCATGCACAGATAGTGAATGGACGTCACAGCCCAAAGATCTTTTAGAGCCGGTCTGCCCAACACCCCATGATAAGCCGACCTATGATCTACCACCAGAAATTCCATGAAATGATGGGCGACCAGGGGGGCCGAACCCATTTCCACAGGCAGGGTAATCCGCCCTCGTGGGATGATGCTGTCCCCAATGAATCCGAACAGCGGGTCGATCATGGGGATTAACCCATGTTCAATTTGCATTTTGTCAAAAGTGGAGCCAAACAATATGTTCACGGAGCTACCGTTGTCAACGAGCATGCGTTTTAATCCGTTTCTAGCCACTATGGCCCTTACAACCAGAGCATCGCAATGGGGATGGTGAACTCCCTCTGCGTCTTCTTGCGAGAAGGTGATTGGGGCCATCTTGTTCGCTGTTTTTGATTTGTCGACAATGTAGGTGATCATCGGGGGATCCTTAGCTTCTCTTGTATAATTTCTCTGGGCGTTCCTGGTGTTGCCACCGACGTGGGGTCCCCCGATGATGGTATCGATTTCCCTGATGACCTGGCTTCCAGCGAATTGAGCTTGGTTCTCTTTCCTGGATTGGCCTCGGTTTCTTGATTCTCTTCTGCTAGGAGGTTGTTCCTGGTGACCCCTTCCTTCCCTCCTCGGGGAGGTGGATCTGCGGGGGTGCTCATTTCTGCTGGAAGTGAGGGGGTTGCTTCGATCAGGGCGCCGGTTGACATCCCGACACTCACTGGTGTCATGCCCATATAGTTGATGGAAAGTACAAAATCTTGCTCCTGGCAAGGGCCTGTTTGGCCTCTTCTTCTTCTTGTTGTTGTTGTCAGTTCTTCCGGATGGTGCTGCCTCAGTGGGTGCGCTATCATATGCCAACACCGGCACTGCGTTCAATGTGGCGGAAGCTAGGGCCTGTCCGGATGTGGGAGCTATGGTATGCCCTGCTTGGATCCATTGCTGAGTAACAAGGTGCGCTGCGGGGCCTCGACCTACCTGCCTCTGTGGGGGAGGGAGTCCCTGCTCGGCACGGTTACGATGATCAATCATTTCTTCACTAATTATTTCCACCCTCATCATCTCCACCAGCTCGTCGTACGTGGAGGGATTCTTGCTGCGCACGTCCCTCCAAAACAAAGTGTTCATGTTGAGACCACCTTTCAGGGCCGAAAGGGCTTCCCTGTCAGTGACCTGTTCGCAGTAAGTAATCTCGTCTGTAAACCTGGCGAGATAGCTTTTCAGCATCTCTCCAGGGGCCTGCCTCATTACCACACCTCGGCGGCTCCGCCTAGTGTTAAATGGAAGGCTCTGCACTTTAGAGCAGGTAAGGCTCCCCTAAAACTCATTTGTGTCATATACTTTGTGAGGTACTTCTCCGGATCCCCTTTTCCCTCGTACTTGGGGATCTTTGGGGGCATGAAATTAGTTGGCATTGGGAAGCTTCGGATTTCCCTTGAGAAAGGGAGGTTATCGTCATCGTCGTCAATCTCGTAAGATCGGCAGGGCCCCTCTGATCCTTGGTCATCTTGGACGTCTTGGGATGGAGGAAGTGCTTTCCCCCGGCTCCCCCAATCGACTAAGTTTCTCCTCTCCTTCCTGTTTCTAGGAGGAGGGACATACTCCTCTTCGTTGTCTGACCGGGCCGACCCTCTTGAAGGGCGGATCCTATTGCTAGGATCGTTCCCTATCCGGTCGAAGACGCTTACTGACCTCTTGTCATGTTCTTGAGGAAAGTTGACCCCCAAGGGTGGTTCTGATGGGTGGCTCTCCTGCATATAAGATGTCGCTTCGGTGTTATCCTCTCTTTCGAGAGGACGTTCGGTGTGCCGGCTCGTGTGGCCTCGAGAATGAGACAAAGGGATTTCCCGTACCGGATACGATCCTTGGGGCATCTGGTGTCCCTGAGCTTGCATGAGAAGTTCCCGCATCGTCGTATTCTGAGCTGCTATGTCTCTCTGCCTGCAGCTATCTGGGCCATTCCTTCGGTGAGTACGGCTGTTCTTTCACCTCGTCGATGCCGGTGATGCGGTCTCTGATGAGTAACATTGTTATGAAGTACCTCCTCTTCAGAGGCCTCTCTGATGGGGTTGTCTTCACGGCTGTAGCTCATCCTCCCTCTTCTTTCAAGGATAGTAAGAACTTGGATTGTAACTCGACTTTTATTCTTTTTCAAGAATGCCTCCCTTTTCAGGGTCAGTCGCCGGTTTTCCGGTGGCTCCCCCGACGGGGAATGTAGGACTTTGAATGGGGAATGACGTTTCCCACAGACGGCGCCAAACTGTTGACCTCTAAAAATGGCTCTTCCACGTGGCCAACTTGTAGCTACTCCACGTATTCCTCCCTACGAAATGAACAAACTATCAGGCGCACACGGCCGGAACCGACGGGATGGCGACCGTATACACTCCGACGGTCAAGTCAGGTTTGGGTGGTCGGAACAGTGTCCAGGGACTACACAAATCAATCAGTCAATAAAGGGGGAGGAGAATATATAAACTTGTTATGGAGTGCTATCTATTGAGAGTTTCATTACCTTTGCCTCTGGCCAATCTTTGGGTATTTATAGGTGGTATGAACCGTGGGATGTGGAACACGTGTATACATCTGACGGTATGAAGCGTCTGCTCATAGGCGTCAATCAGCCTCGCTTGTAGAGTGGGCGAACAGTTTGTTTCCCCCGAGTTGAATTGACATAAAGTTGATAAGTCACATCAAATAGCTTTATGGGGGACGTCAAATCAATTTAAACCTTATATGAAGAGCAAATCTTAAATTGGCAGCGAATCTTCTAACGGGGTCCACTTGAACCCGACCTCAGAGACGGGACACTTCGGTAGATCATTGACAGGAATCGGTGTATCACTTTGGAGAAGTTTCGGGAGGTCGGAGTGATCTATTTGATTTCACCGGCTTCGGAGTGGCGAGATGACACTTCGGTTACTTCGGTACCGAAGCTCGTAAAATGAGGCGTAACAATAATCTTTATAAACTAATAACAAAGAGTGAATTGGAGAGTCAAGCCCACCATCTGTTTTAAAAAGTTTAATAGAAAATCTCTTTGAACTTGTTTTTATGCATTAACTTCTTTAAAATACAAAAATATCTTGTACTTAGATAGCCTTTTAGAATATACTATTACTCAACATAATTTCTCATTTTCATAATTATTAGAGTGCGTTTGATTGTATATATTTTTTTATGAAAAATCTATTTTTTTCACCCAAATTTTTATATTTGTGCTGTTTAACTGTCTTTTTTTTCATGAAAAATATTTTCCTACTTTTGGTCACATGACCATATTTTCTTCAAAATCTAAGAAAATATTTTCTTTAGGAAGAGTATGATTTTATTTTTCATGAATTCACTCTCTCTTTCTCTTATTTATCCACTCTCTCTCATTAACTCACCAATAAAAAATAGACAAGTATAATATTTTTTAGGTTGAAAATTAAATCAATCAAATACATTTAATTGACAAATTCCATACAAATAAATTCTAGGCAATTGAAATACCTAGAATTTATTTTCTTTCCATCCAAATTTCATACTTGCAATCAAACTCACCCTTAGTTAAAAATATTTTATTCTATAAGAAAGCAAGTCTTCGTGATCTAGTTGAAGATTTTTTATTTTTTATTTTTATCACCCCCACTTATACCTTGTTTGAGCTCCATTATTTGGAGAAAATATATTTTGGTAAAGTATTTTGTAGATAATGTGTGATTAAAAAATATGAAAAAATTTTGAATTTTTGTATGAACTTATTTTATGAGAAATTAATAATTAAACATAATTTTTAAAATAAATAAATTTTGAAAACAATAGAGCTCGAACCCGAATATAATCTAGTTTAAGCAAATCTTACTCCACAAAAGTTCTCATTGTCATGACAACCTTATTACTCATATTGTCCAGTTTGGCCTCCATTATTTTATATTATAATTTTTTCTTTTTTTTAACTACATAATTTTTCATAAAATAATATTACATGTAAATTAAAATTTGTTCTTTTTTGTTTTCAACCACATATCGTTTAAAAAAATATTATTTCAAAAATTATAATATCTAATTATTGGGGCCTGGGCCATATTGTGATTATTCTCTTCTAAGAAGGTCGAATGGATGAGTCTTCTCGGATAGTAATCCAATGTTTCCCTAGCCGCGCTATTACACTTAAGTAAGAATAATCCTTCTTTTTTATCCTTTTTCCGTCTCTCACTTTATTTGACATTTTCATTCGAAGCTCTTTAATAACCGCCGACGAACACACAGTGCGAGTGCGAGTAAGTTCATCGCTAATGGCGGAGAAGCCTCAGCCTGTTCGTGTTTTATACTGCGGAGTTTGCGGGTTACCCGCTGAGTACTGCGAGTTTGGACCTGATTTTGAGAGCTGCAAGCCATGGTTGATACAGAACGTACCGGATCTCTACCCGGATCTCCTCAAAGGTTACCCGAAAACCGAAACCCTATCCCCGTCTGTTTTGTATACACAGGGCACTTCTGATTTCGTTAATCTGAATTTTTTATTCTGTTTATTGTTGATTGATTGTCAGAGGCTGATGCGAAAGACGCTGATAAAGTATCTGATCAGCTCCAATCCACCTCAATCTCTGGCGGTAATATATGCTTACCTAAACACACAAAAGTATGCACACACTTATGTAAAATACATTTAAGTGCGTTTTTTAATAATTCTTTATGACGTGTCGTCAATATGAAATTTGTTCTGATTGCTAATGTTTTTGAGAATGGGGGAAATAGGGTTGAATAGTATACGAAATCAAGTTTGCAGTTCTCTCTTCATCTCTTGATATGTTTGTGTGTGAAAAATTTTGCTCCAGGAATAGACTGAATTATATTGAAAAGCAGTTTCTTTAGATATTTGATCCACTTGTGATATGCTTGCATCTGGTATAGTTAATTAATCTGCACGGACCAATAATTATGTTTCGAAAGAAATCAGCATCATATACCAAATTTGGGATTCTGGCTAACTTATGCTATTTCCATGTTAAAACTCAAATGACCATCTTTTGTTGGTTTATTTCTCCATTTTTTGTGGCAGGTTCTTCTAAACCTAAAGAGGAAGATGTAAAACGTTTACCTGGTGGAAAAATTAAAAAGAAGGTGAGATTTCTTCAAAATCTGTTTTTTTAACCTTAGGGCCTGCTTGGGAGTTTTGGGTACTGGTTATGGGGTTTCTAAAGTATTGGTTTTGAGAGTTTACGAGGGTTCCGGTTCTGGCTGGTTTTTAGTAGCGGTTTTTTTAAATACTACAATCTATGCTTGAGAGTTTATTATTCTTCAGTTCTGAAAGTTTTTTAAAAGAATAAAATTACTTATTCGCCACATGAGTTACTTAATGTACGACTGCGAAGTTTTAGACATGCACTTGAAAGAATTAAATAGCTGTTTGACAGATTGTTTTGTGCTATTCTGCCATTTGTCATCTTTACAACTCTGATGTGATTAAATACGTTGAAATGGAATAACTTTTTCACTTCAGCCTCACTTGTTCTAGTCAATAACTTTTATTCTTCTAGTTTTTTCTACTACAATTTCCTTTATTCCAATTTCTCGATTCAGTAAAGTTTTTTCATCGAATTTGAAATTCAGAGGCTAGTAATTTATAGTTTTGAAAAAGTTACACCTTGAAACAAACATTTGATGTTATTCATTGGGATTTATGAGTTTAGCTTTCTACTAAGCTTCCAGACCTTTGCTGGTCTGTGACTTTACTCCGAGCCATTGAAATGGTTGCTTATCCAATGGAAAATATTCTAGATGGAGGCATTTTCAGTTAAGCTTCAGTATTAGGGACTGTCCTTCCTATTCATTGAAGGAAGCATGGGTAAATTGTTATATTCAAGCGTCTCATGGAGGATACTCCTTCCTGATCTGTGCCTTTATTCTAAGCCATTGGACACGTTAAGACCCAGTGGGAAAGCTTCTAGATGGTGGTTTTTAGAGTTGATCTTGAATATTAAGGGGCTGTCTGACCATTGCATTGAAGGTAGCATGGTGCACGGTCAAGTTGGTAAATTCAAGTGTTGCATAGGAAATCAATGTCTATATGATAAGTTCATCTAAACTCCCGCCCGAAGGTTAGTGGGCCAGTAGCTGTCCAGTGCCATTGTTTTAGTGGAAGCACACCATTTAGTTTTTGCCTTTTTGGCAGGGATATATGAAGAATATGGATTGGTTCCTGAGCTTCAAATTCCCAATAGGACAATTAGACATGCTTTTACCTTAATAAGTGGGGGGTAATAAAGCACAGAGCCAACTGCAAGTTTTTGTTAAAAAGTTAGCATTTTCTTGGTTTTCATTTACAATTGAGATGGTGATATATGAACACGCTTTAGCATTCATTGTGATAATGTTATCACATTATGTTCTTCAATAGCTGATCCAGATGCACAATAGTTGGTAGCACTAAAAATATTATGAATTGTTTTGCAGGAGAAGCAGGAAGTTATTATTGAAAAGATGACTCGAAACAAGCGGAAATGTATCACCACTGTAAAAGGCCTAGATCTTTTTGGTGAGAAATATGTTGCATCTGATTCTGAATTTCATTTATTATGTTTCTGTTGTAGTCATCAGTCGTCACATCCCAAATGTTAGCATGACTAGCTTTTCTTATGTTTCAACATCAGGGGTTAAACTGAGTGATGCATCAAAGAAGCTTGGAAAGAAGTTTGCTACTGGAGCTTCTGTCACGAAGGTGTGCTGTATTTCTGGTTTAAAACTTTTAAGACTCTAGTTTCCAAAGTTGTAATCAAATTTTCCTTTTCTACTGGTTTATTCCTCACAGGGCCCAACTGAGAAGGAGCAAATTGATGTTCAAGGAGACATATCTTATGACATTGTGGAGTTCATTACAGACACATGGCCTGATGTAATCTCATTGGCTCTTCAAATTTTAGTTTGATGTCCCTTTTACTTTTTGTTAGTCTTACATTCTTCAAATTAAATAGTGATCACCTAGCAGAAATTAGGCTATTGCTTTACGTATTGTGCAACTTTAGCTGATAATAGAGTAAAAATATCGTAGGAGACAAATCTTTTTTGGATTTTAGGTGCAACAAATGCTAATTAACAAAGGCAAACATATGCTCTATCCGTCCTTATTTTTGCCAACCTGCATATTGTTATTGCTGTACTGCTTTTGCCTTTTTGTATGCTAAACTGGCTTGTTTAGATCAATATATTAATCTAGCTTATTTTTCGTTTTGATAGAATAGAAATTGAAATAATTGTGCTTTTACCAAATTTGTGATACTCGCCAAATTTTGTAACTAAGCACATGTTTGGCAAGTGTTTATAAACATTTGTCAAAAGTCAAACCATTTTTTATCCACACATTTACCCCTGTTTATAAAGTTCTTGCCAAACAAATGCTAAATTGCATCCAGTAGTATCTCCTCCCCTCCCCCCTACCCCCCCCGTATGTATAAATGGTATTTATTTATGGGCATGCATTTTGTACATAAGTTTTGATGAAGCTTAAAGCATGTTGGCTTGCTATTTCATGACCTTCATATTCTAAGGAATTAGCCAATGTCAAAGTCAGATTTTTTCTAATACTTCGTGTCGTCTTCTTCCACATTGATAACATCTGTTATAGATGGTTTGGGATTACATACCAAAATTTGTTGCTTAGAATGCTTAGTCGAATTTTTCACTGGCCATTTAATCCTATAACAGAGAACATGTTGAGACGCAGATCCAGAGGGTCCGTTGACCTGTTCAGTATCCTGTATTAATTTATGGGTTTTAAATGAAAGATAGTTTTTATTCTCATTATTGCATTTTGGAAGTAGGATTGAAACTGGTGTGAAGCACATTGAATGTGGAGACCTAAATATGTACCAGCTGTGGTGTCTCTCTAATGTATTTATTTTGATGCATGATTTCTTTTGGATTTACTCCAGTTGTGGAATGAGCTAAAGTCTAATTCTTTTCTGGGTTTTTAGGTACCAGAGGCTGCAATTTTCTTCATTGAGGATGGGAAAAAGGTTCCAGCTGTGTAAACGCCAACCAAGTCGAGGGAGGTTTGAATTTCACTGAATGAAATGAGATCTCAAATCAAAGGGCTTCCGTTCCAAAGTTATGGACGACTTTATAATGCTGATTTAGATAAAAATTTCCACTCATGGTATATGTATGTACCAAATTGTTATATCGTCTCGCAATTCAGACGTGTTTTAAAGTAATGAATTGGTTTGTACAGTGGCCTAAATTCTGTTTCTGTTCGTGCATTTTACATGAGAGGAGATCAAAGTTTTGGCTTAGATAGTTTCGTTTTAATATTTATATTTGCCTTATCTGAATACCAGAATATGAATTTTTTTTATTTTTTTATTTTTTGCCACCTTAGTTTGTCATACCTGTTTTCTTTGCAAAATGACACACATGCCCAATATATATGTTTAGATGGTAATTAATTAATTATTATTGTTTCTGTTTCTGTTCGTGCATTTTACATGAGAGGAGATCAAAGTTTTGGCTTAGATAGTTTCGTTTTAATATTTATATTTGCCTTATCTGAATACCAGAATATGAATTTTTTTTATTTTTTTATTTTTTGCCACCTTAGTTTGTCATACCTGTTTTCTTTGCAAAATGACACACATGCCCAATATATATGTTTAGATGGTAATTAATTAATTATTATTATTTTTAGAACTCTTGATGATCTGTGGTTAATTACTCATTGAGTGATATTTTTCTACATATTCTGGTTGTCCCAAAAGAATTTAGGGTGGGTGTGATTGTAAGTATGGAATGTGCAAGGTCAATTAAATGTTTTTGATTGGTTTAGTTTTTAACTTTGAAAATATTGTACGTTTTCATCTATTGTGGATTGGGAGATGAGTGAATGAATTACTTGCAAAATAAAAACCTACTTTTTACTAAAAAAAGAAATAAAAATGTTTTCTTTGATTTTGAGGAAAATATGGTCATGTAATTAATTTTCGAAAAATATTTTTCATGAATATAATATTAATCAAACACTGTAAAAGTAGGAACTAGAGAGAGAGAATTTTTAATAAGAAATAAAGTCAATTAAATACATGTTTTTTTAATTAGCAAGTTTTCTACTATTTTGGGGTCGTATTTGTTTACCTTTTTTTACAACAGTTATGTAGAACGGAATATTTCAAAACAATTGAGCATATTTGGAACGACAACTTACTTTTTTTGGTTTCCTGCAGTTTCTTCTTCCAAATAAATGAGATGCTTGTTTGTACATTCAATTGTGGGAATTCGTCATTTCTTTACATCATTTCCTTGTATTATCACTCAGATAAGATGATAATACATTAACACATACTTTGATCATTGATGAAATTTTAACTCATTCGCTTGCGATCCATTGGTATCACAATACAGAGATATGTGATCAATAATATTAGGAATTACTCTAAGTTCATTGATGAACTTCTTAATCTAAACCACAACCTTTAGCAATTATCTGTTAGGCTTTTGTTATTGAAACAGTAATTATTTCCTATTTAGAACCTTTCCAACTAATCACTCCATTATTAAGAGTAAAGCTATATATTGATTGAGATTTGCTATCATCCTAGTCCTGCTGAAAGTTAGCAGTAGATGATCATGAACTCTCAACTTATTTTCTACATATAAAATCTTTTTAAGATTTAGTCTGGATAGGTTAAGCAATCTCCTGAATCTATTTCTATAAATCTCATTACTTTTCCCATATCTTTCACGGAGAAATTCTTTGACTACCACAATTTTATCGATTAAAGCATACAAGTGTTGTTTCCCATTAATAATATGTCATATACATATAATATTAGGAATACGAAAACGTTCACACTTGTCTTCTTGTAAACACACACTTCATCTTCATTTTTAATCAAATCTTTTTTATTGTCTTATCGAACTGAATATTCCAGTTCCTAGAGACTTGCTTCAGTCCTTCTAGGATCAATCTTGTATGCGTTGTAAGCATATTTGGACTCAAAACCTTCAAATTGTGTCATGTACACTTCCTCTTGCAAGTTTGGATAAGGAATGCAGTTTTGATATTCATTTGTCATATCTCATAGTCATGGTATGCAGCTATTGCAATCAAAATTCGAATTGACTTAAGCATGGCTACAGTAAGGTTTCCTTAAAGTCAACTATTTTTCTTTGTTTGTATCTTTTTACTACTAGTTTTGCTTCATATATTTGGATGTATCCATTCATGTTGATCTCTTTCTTGTAAACTCATTTATTGCTTTCTGGAATTTCTCATTAGGTGGGTTGACCAAGGTCCATACGTGTGTTGAGTTTATTTCGAATTTCATAACCTTCCGTCATCTCTTTGAGTGAACACTTGACTTTACACCTACATAATTAGTAGGTTTATCATCATTGATTAGTAATACCTGATTAGTAATAATAAATTTATACCTCTAAGAGGTCAAATGATCCTACTAAACTTACATGGGTTGACATATCTTCAAGAGTCTTGCTTTCTGATCAAGAATTTGTCTCTTAACAAGTGTGTGATCAATCTCACGTTCATCTACTTTGTTAAATGCATATACGCAACTTGTTTGAGCCCCATTTTGATTTAAAAAAAACATTTTTGAATAGTATTTTGATGTGAAATGTGTGGTTAAAAAATAATAAAAAGTTTTAAATTTGCGCATAATATTATTTTATTGAAGAATGTGTGGTTGAAATCGATCAAAACACTATTTAAGAACGCATTTTTTCGACAAAAAAATTTGGGCTGAAACAAGGGCATGGATTCTTGAATTCCTTTAAGTTCTTATTTCCTCACACTGTCCTCTCCTAGAATAAACTTTTTTTTAAGGAAAATGAAATGTCTTGAGATGAAGACTTTCTTCTTAATGAGATTATAGAATTGGTATTCAATTATTTCATTTGCATATCTCACAAATATATATTTATCAAATTTAGACTCGAGTTTAGCCGATTTAGTGCATTTCACATAAACGTCACGTTCCTGAGGTTTTATATTAGACAAGCTGCGTAGATAGAACATGATTTAATGTGTAGCACGTAACAATTAGTACATGACTCAAACAATTTTATGAGGTTTGTATGGTTGGTTAATGATCGCACTAACTAATAGTGTGGGATTTCTCCTTTCAGATATATCATTATACTAAGGTGTATATGAACGGCGTCCACTGCGAGAGAATTTCATTCTTCTTTAGATAATTTAAAATTTCATTTTTAAGGTATTACCCACATCGATCAGACCTTAATGTGAGTATACTTTTTGTTTGAATCCTTTGAACTTTTCAAGAGTTTCATGCTTGAATCTCATCAATTATATATGACAATTTCTGAAATAGTAATCAGTAAATATGATGAAATAAGAGAAATTTGAACCAACAGTAATTGACATGGCCCACATATATTAGTATGTATCAGACCTAATAATTGTGTAGCTCTTTCTCCTTCTCTAGTAAAATGGAGTTTGGTGTGTAATGATTCAAAATTCAGAACGTGGGAATAATGGGAAGGCCGACGTGGGACACGTGGCACCACTACCACATGACTTTCACTCGGCTTCTGACATCTGTAAATATCCCTGAGGGCTACACAGGTATGGATGATACCATATTTTTTTCAGCCATTTGAATTCCGTCCTTATTTTCCCCTAACACGTATATCAATCCTCACGCCAGAGGTAAAACGGCGGAGAAAGCGCGCTCTCATTTTTTTAGGTTACATATGCTTGTCGAAGTAGCAGGAAAGCCATAAGCCACCAGGTAAGTCAGGAGGTATTATTCCACAACCATTTCAGTAAAAATTTCACATCTTTTGCACGCCCAACTTTTCTGTTTTGGAAAAAAAAAATTCTCAATCTCTTAGGAAGAAACAAACATACAATTTTTAAGGGAATAAATTAAAAATGAGTAAAAACAATATCAATTGTAAGATAGTAGCTTGCTTGAACATATTAATTTTGAAATTCATATACTCGTGTTCAGGATTGACCTTGATATTTTGGAGCCCTTGTGCCAACTTTAAATTTGGAGCTCTATTAAAGAAAAATCATCGCGTTCTTACATGAGTCTTCTTATTAAGAGTTTTAATATAATCATGAAAAATCTAATAGAGACAACTATTCACCAAAATTAAAAGAAGAAAATAACAAAATGTCAAAATTTAACATGCAATACAAATTATAAGTGAAGTTTGACATATAAGATTATAATGCAATGATAAAGGGGTCTGTTCATTTCTTTTATCATTTTCTTATAGGCAACTATTCAGAATATAATTGAATATGTATTTGAGTGACTTATGTATAAAAATAAAGAATGATGATTGCGAGAGATAGTATAACAAAATAATGAAAATGACGATAAAATACAAATGAGCTTCTAATTTTATATTAATTTATATTTAATTAACTTACAAATAAAAAGTATGAACTCGAGTAAAGAATTATTAAATTCGAAGTATCTTTAACGAGCATCTAAAAAGGTTATTATCATGAGATTAAAGCAACACACTTAATAATAACAACCTATAAACTCTGTAATATATGCCCTTGTTTGAGCCCCATTCTTTGTGAGAGAATGCATTTTTAAATAATGATTGATGGAGGAATGCGTGGTTAAAAATATGATTTTTTTTGAATTTGTGTGTAATATTATTTTATTGAAGAATGCGTGGTTGAAAATGAGTTTTGAAAAAATGAAGTTTTTAAAGAATGGGGCTCAAACAAGGGCTGAATCATAGCATGTTCAATCTCTATGGTCTTCACCTCTTCTTATATCTTCAATTGGTCTAATAGCAATCTGTATTCTATACTAGTTGGCACACATGCTAAAAATAATTAGACATGCATGCCCATAATGTTTATAACAGACTAGTAGGTCCAAAATTAACAAATGGCTGCAGCCCAAAATAACAAAATTTAAAAAACTAACCATTCAATACATCCACATGGTCGAGTCCAAAACATCTACTAAAATACATTCATAAAATAAATTCATCTTATATAATATATGATATTATATATAGATATATATTTCAAATTTCTATGAGTTAAGGCCGTCTAATTTAATTTAGACAAATGAATTGGAATAATTAAATAATTAATCAAATCAATCAATTAATTTAATTAGTGGAATGATTAAAATCATTAAATACCAAATTAGAATTCAGCCCCAATTCTAAGATTTTAGTGTGTGTTTATTTAATTAAATATCAATTTAGAATCCAACTCTTATTCCAAAATTTTAGGATAAACTTATTTTTATTAAAATCAAAGTCTAATTAAATACCAAATTAGAGTCCAATTCTAATTCTAAAATTTTAGGATGAA